AAACAAAGGGAGTATTGTCAAGAACGCCGTGAACAGCCAAGATGCCAAGACATTCATGGTGTCTGAATACAGGAAGAAAACAGTTAAGTGTAAAAGTTCGGAGTGAAACGAGAACTGGTCCCCAACCTTCTGCTCAAGGTGGGAGGGGGGGGGGGTTTAGACATATCTTACAACGATTTAGATCAAATCGAGAGGCAAGGAACCTTTTCTAAATGATAATCATTTGGAAAAGTTTAGAATCATATCATGTATAAAATGATGCCAAAGCTGGAAAGCAAAGAAATACAGAAGTGGACCAATACAACTGTGACTAGATCGCACCCGTCATTCTTTTTAATGATCACTTGAAAGCAATTGTCATTGCAAAATTTTTCAAAGCATCTTATAAATTGAAAAAGCTTGGATTTACAATGATTGAGTAAGTGAGATACAGGAGACGGAAAGATCTTCTTATATAGATAAAAACAGTTTTTGTACATGAGTTCTCGAGTTCGCATTGAAATCTCCATATTATCTCAATCTCTGCGATGCCTATCTGGATAGAGTTTTCGATACTTAATAAGGGACGAATCATTGTTCTTGGCGAGAGCTGGTCCTCAATATTGTCTGTCCTTGGAGTGACTACCATATTTGAATTTTAGAGTTTATAGAAGTTGATAATTCAAGAGAGAGGTAGAGTAAGATGAAATTGACGAAGAAAGGTACTTCGGGACCAGTTCTCGTATTACGTAATACTCCTGATTTTCCTATATGTCACTACTGAGTGATATGCGTTTTTCTGAAGAAAACAATATAAGAGCAATACTTTTTCCAACAAATAACAAAACTTGGTATCTGGCGAGAACTGATCCCCAATGTCACCTGTAGTTGGAATAAGCAACTTGCGAACAAGTCCATGTAAACTGATTGCATCCAAGCATGATTGCATTCAAGGAAGTAAGTGAGGGAAATCAACGAAAAAATATGGGGACCAGTTTTCATAATGACAGTTAGCAGAGTGATACATAATGTTTTTGAAAGAAACAGAGTCTAATATCACTCTCAAAAAAGCAAAGGTGGG